ATAGGCCACAATTGTAAGCCGAACTTCACCATGGGACCCACAATGAAGGGAATCTGGACAAGTAATTAGAAGGACTGTAATATTCGGAAAATATGTCAGTGTAAAGAAGAGGTGTTGTTGACCTCTAATCGGGCAAGAGGGTTCAAATATCACGAATTATTGCCCAGGCTCGGAGTAAACATCCGCAGAAAGATAGAATTCCGTGGTAGTTGTGTAGGGTATCGTATCCAGCTGAGCCTGACATCCATCGTTCATAAATTTGTTCCTCTACTCTACTCTGTTAAGTACTATTAAGTAAATAGTGTATGTAGTTGAGTTATTTCTTCATGTACCTTCGTCGTTTATTGAAATAAAACAAATAAACAGATTAAAAATACTAAAAATGTGTGTCTATATTTATGGACGTCTAAAAAAATCTCTTAGTGGGGGTTCACAATATTAGTTTCTTATACCATAGACAGACGACTGCCTTAATTTGCATTAAAAAATTCTTAATTTGAATTAATATTTGCCCCTGACAGACGAATGTTTCTGCATTTACGAAACAGTTTTTTTTTTCAAAACAATTGTTTGTCTGTATGCAGGAGGAATATATTGACATTTTTCTGCAACATATTAATTAAATACGGAATTAAATACGCCCAATGTCACAATAATTGCTCCCAATGAATTTGAAAAAAAATGGTGCAATTTTGGGCAAATTTCACAAAATTACCAGGCGCCCAGACTGAAGTAGCAAGTTGCCCGCCAAAAAAAAATCGAAAATTTTTGGTCTGGCAACACCCTACCCGCGAAAAAATTCGAGCGCCTAAAAGTATGCTACAAAATTTGTAATTTCTTTGTACGTCATTGCCAGATGCAATTTTTTATTTTTTTTGGCGGGCTACTTTCTATTTTCTTCTGGGCGCCTGGTATTTTTGTGAAATTTTAGCAAAAAAATGCATAGAACCAGGTAAATGAACAATTGTGACGTCATCACAAAAATTATGTCGCATGCGTAGGGGGGCAAGTACACTTACCATATTTGTTGTATCCGTAAATAAAAACAATTAGTATTTTTTAGTAAATTCATTATTTTTTATTCACTATTCTTTGTGAAAAATACATACATACATTTAAAAACTATATTATATATAAATTTTAAGAAATAATTTTCTTGAAAACTTAGCCCACTTATTTGGACTATATTCTATTGTAATCCTTCCTTGAGGAATTATATGATTGAGAGATGAGGATTATTCCAAAATATTATCGGGCCTGCCATATTTTCAAATAATTTGTATATTGGTTTCGATTATCATCATACGGAAGGAAATTCGAGCATATATAATTCATAAAAACCTGGAAAAATAAAAGACAAATTAAAAATTTATATAAGCATTTAATAATCTATACTAATAAAAGAGTAAAGTGATTGACTGACCAAGAATGGCCCTCACCCAAAATTCAAAATTCTGTCTTCAGCCGTTTCGTCTTGGCGTTGATAAATCGTTACATCAGTCATTTAACTATTCATCGACGCCCAGACGAAACGGCTGAAGATAGAATCTTGAAATTTTGGGTGAGGGTCATTCTTGGCCCAAAGGTGACAGATAAGGCTGGGGTTTAGGAAATTCGTACTAGAACGGTACGAAAAGTACTAAATGTGATACCATTTGTATTTGGAGAACCAGTAGAGCTAGAACTCTTAAATTTTAAATGAGGGTCTCTGATGGAGTGTATAATAGATATAGCAGAGGGGTTTTTGGACATTCGAACTATAAGTATGCGAAAAATACTAAAATATACTAAATTTAGTACAATTTCGTAGCATGTGAATGGATAGAGCTAAAAATTTGGAAATTTGGAATGCAAATTAAGGTTGAGAAGCAGGGTCGATATAAGCAGCTGGTTTTGAAAGCGTGTACTTATGGATACGAATAGTACTATATTGTACTATATTTAGTACAAATTTAATTTGGTGGCACAAATCGAGTTGGAATCCTGAAAATTTAAATTAACATTACCATCGAAGTGTAGGATTGGGATATATACGTAGTTTTGGATTTTTTTTACTTATGTGTACGAAAAGTACTAAGTCGTACTATAATTGGTACCGAATTTGGTTTTGGGTGAACCGATAGAGCTGGATGAAATGCAATTTGGAGTCAGCATCACTGTTGGGATGTAGGATTATGGTATGTAGAGAATTTTGAAAATTCGTACTAATGTGTACTATATATGTATATGGTACCAAATTTGGATTTGGGTTAAACCGATAGAGCTGGAAGCTTTACATTTGGAGCTAGGATCGTTGTTGGGGTAGAATTGAGCTATTTAGGAAATTCCTACTAATGTGAACTAAATTTTGTACAATTTAAATTTTGGGTGAACCTATGCGTTCAAGTTTTGGGAATGTGTACTAAATGGTACCAAATGCGGGTTTGAGTGAGCTGGAATTTTGGGCTGGATTGGGCTTTGTGGAAAGTTTTGGAAATTCGTACTAATGTGTTGTACTAAATTTGGTACAATTTAACTTTTAAGTGAACCAATTGAGCTGGAAACCTTAAAATTTGGAAATAAGGTTACTTAGAGTGTAGGAATTGGGGTATGGATATAGTTTTGGACATTCATACTTATGGGTACTATATTGTACTAAATTTGGTACAATTTGAATTTTGTGTGAACTGAGAGAGCTGGAATCCTGCAATTTGGAGTTACGATCTTTGTTGGTATGTAGTATTGAGCTATGTAGAAAGTTTTGAAAATTTGTACTAAATGGTACCAAATTTGGATGAACCGATAGAGCTGGAATCTTTAAATTTGATGTTAGACTCACTGTTGGGGTGTAGAGTTTGGCCTTGTAGAAAGTTTTGGAAATGTGTACTAACTTTTGTACAATTTAAATTTTGGATGAACCAATACAGCTGAAATCCTGAATTTTGCAGTAAGGATTACAGTTGGGGTGTAGGATTGGTCTATGTAGAAAGTTTTGGAAATTTGTCCTAATGTGTACAAAATAGTACCAAATGTGGATTTGAGCGAATCGAAGGAGCTAGAATCTTAAAATTGGAAGTTAGGATTACTGTAGGGGTGTAGGATTGGGCTATGTTGGAAGTTTCTACTAATGTGGTCAAAAACAGTTCGTGGACCAATTTCTTGTTGCTTGCTATGTAGGTGAAGTGTTTGTAAATTTTGGACATATAAAATGTAAAATATATTTACTCACACAAACATACATGCAGAAACTGTTATGAAGAAAAAAAAATTTTTAAAAGATCGATTTTTGTGGGGTTTTTCATTTTTGAGTAATGGGCGCCCAGTACCGAAAAGGAATCATTTATTATTGTTATTGTATTATGGGTCCCATTTACGAGCTTCAAAGAAATATTGTGATGTAGGAAAGGAATCGAGACAGATCCGCGGTTCCTTTTGAGAGTATGCATAGAATCACTTTTTGAGTCGATTCATGCCTGTCCGTCCGTCCATGTATTTTTGTGTGAACAAAGTACAGGTCGCATTTATAATCCGATTTGGATGAAATTTGGTACAGCTCAATTATTTGGCCCAAGGACGAACCCTATTGAAATTGGTTAAAATCGATTCAGATTGAGATATAGCTCCAATATATATTTTCGTCCGATTTAATGTAAATTATGGACCAAATTCCTATATTTCTTTCGATTTCCACGAAATTTGGTATAGCGTACTGAATTAAGTCTTAAATAATGATCGCTAAGTTTCGTGAAAATCGGTTCAGATTGAGATATAGCACCCATATATAGTTTCGCCCGATTTTAGGTAAATGGTGCACCAAAGTCCCTCTAAATCTGTCGATTTGCACAATTTTTGGCATAGCGTACTGAATTACTTCTAGAAAGATGTGTGTTAAGTTTCGTATAAATCGTTTCAGATTTAGATATAGGTCCCCTATATATTTTCGTCCGATTTAATGAAAATGGTGCACCAAAGTCCCAATATATACTTCGATTTGCACGAAATTTGGCACAGCGTGCAGGTAGTAAGATGTGTGTTAAGGTTAGTGAAAATCGGTTCACATTTAGATATAGCTCCCATATATTTTCGTCCGATTTTAGGCAAAAAGTGCATCAAAGTCCCTTTATATCCTTCGATTTGCACGAAATTTGGCATAGCGTAATGAATTGAGTCTAGAATGATGTGTGGTAAGTTTTGGGAAAATCGATTCAGATTGAGATATAGCCCTCATATATAGTTTCGCCCGATTTTAGGTAAATGGTGCACCAAAGTCCCTGTAAATCTTTCGATTTGCACGATTTTTGGAGTAGCGTGTGTGTTAAGTTTCGTAAAAATGTATGGCGTGTGATCATATTTGATTTTTCATATAGTCATGTCTTAACATAATTTCTGATGAACCCTAAATTAAATCACCGCGCCACTTTTCCCTTTTTAATGGCGGCATTTCCAACAATTTCACCTTTTTTGTATTTTCTATACCGCATTTAACTCTTTTATTGAGCAACTAATCTCCTAAGATTAAATAATCGTTTCTAAGTACACACTGAAGTTAGGTAAAACAAAAATACCGCACATGTCTTAGCAATTGCGAAAATTTACTTTCAGTAGCATAATATGGCTAATGACATTTATGACTTTCAATTCGATGCACAGATATATCCAGACAAATACGACTACTGCAATCATACCTACGCATGTGTGCAAATTGCATAGCACACTTGTACCCCGCTCCAAGAAAATACCCATAATCGCAGGTAGAAATGGCTCATCATAATTTTTCTGGTAATTTTTTTTTGCCAACTGCTCTGCACTGTACTTCCTTACCACATAGATGCGATGGCGATAAAAACGCTCATCATTCAACGGAGCAAATTTAGTAGCGCATGCAACGTGCAACGGTGACATTGAAAGTGACAGTGAAAAAGTGAAGAAGAAGAAAATAGAAAAATAAACTTTGTTTCGAAACTTCCGCATTTAAAATGTTTATAAATAGAGGAATTTTCATATTAGCTGTCATATATTTAATGGTCGAAGTGATAGGGGGAGCCACTGTTGTGACGTATGAGGAGCCTCAAACAAATGAAATCGATCCGGAACCGACAGCAAAACCTTTCAAATGGCTGAAGGGCATGCAAGATATGGTCTCAAGTCCAACGGGTCATGTTGTGGTGCAAGTCGCGAAGGAATTACTAAATCGTTCTACGGGAAATAGTCAAGTAGGTGTAAATCCGGATGAGAACAATTAAAAAAGAGAAATGGAGTCTTGTGTAATCGAAAATTGTTTTTCAGGTTTTAAGTTTGAATCTGACGAATTTAATTATCATTTTATTACTGAAAGTATTGATATTCTCAGCTGGCTTATTGGGTGCTGGCCATTGGAGTAATTACGGTTATGCTCGATCGAATGATAATGGTAAGGATATACAAAAATTGTTTATACTCTCAACCTTATATATACACTTTGCTACGGCAAAAATGTGAATTTTCAAAACCCCATTTTCCTTTGGACCGAAGCAGTTTCAGACTATTTGGAGTGGGTTTACATATGTCCGTATGTCTGTGTTTCTGGCTGGCTAGCGCATACGATAACTATCATAGGGAGTAGCCGATTTCATCCAAAATTTGCATATAATAGTATTTCTTTGAAATCTGAATCATTTCGAAGATGGGGAATATCGGTCGACTCCTTCTGGTAACTGGTCAAGAGTTTGAAGAAAATCACTTTACACAGCTGTTCCATAAACCGAACTTAAAAAATATTTCCAGGCGCCTCAATCTTGTGCGCAGTTTTTCCAATTTGAAAGACCATGCTTTGCTAAGTCACCATCCACTTGATCTTTCCATCGAATTCGTGGCCTTCCCCTTCTAAGTGTGCTTTTGAGCTGGGGCATCCTCATCCATTCTCACAACAGCTCAATACGTCTGACTATGTCGATGTATAGATGGTAAAGATCGTGTATAGATGGTCCGTAGATCATTCGGAGAATTTTTTCTCAAACACTCCAAGAGCTGATTCATCTGCCTGTGCAACACCTCGAAGCTGTAGTTTTCAAGTTCCACAGTTACTCCGGGTCTACTGGACGTCTCCCGCACTGATACCATCAGCTTGGTCTTTTTGCCATTTACTGCCAGACCCAATTTGGCAATTCGGTCAAAGGTGGCTGTTACCGTTCGCAATGCCCTACCCATTATATCGATGCCATCAGACGAAGCGAGTAGCATGTGCTGTTTGGTGTACAGAGTGCAATTTCTGTTCACTTTTGCCTCTCGTATGACCTTTACCAGCAGGATGTTAAAAAGGTCACACGACAAACTGTCACCTTGTCTGAATCCTTGTTCGATATTAAAGGGCTCCGAGAGGTCCTTTCCGACTTTAACTGCTGACCTTGCGTCAGTCAAAGTTATCTTGCATATGCCGAACGCAGACATGGCTTTCAACATCTCTGAACGGAAAGGGCTGTCGAATTCGGCTTTATAGTCGACGAATAGGTGGAATGTGTCGATGTGTTTTTCATGGGTCTTATCCAGGATTTGGCGCAGAGTGAAAATTTGGTTGATGGTGGATTTGCCAGGTCTGAAGCCGCATTGGTATGGTCCAATAATATCATTGACCATTGGCTTCAATCGTTCACACAGCACACTGGATAGCAATTTATATGCGATGGAAAGGAGACTTATTCCTCTATAGTTGGCAAATATCGTCATGTCTACTTTTTTTGTACGGGACACAGGATGATAAGGTTCCAATCATTGGTCATGCATTCCTCTTGCCAAATTGTACTAATCAGCTGGTGAATGCTCCTGACCAGCATCTGACCACCAATATTGAATACTTTGGCTGGTAGTCCATCGGCACCTGCGGCGTTCTTATTCTCAAGTTGATTGATCCTGACTATATCTTGGCTTTATACCGTCTATTTGATACCATACGCTGCAAAATTTTCCTTCCAGATCCTCCACACGCTATGTGTATCTGTTACGAGGTTTTCTTCTTTATCTCTACAGGAGAATGTGCCCGCACAAAGCCTTCGGTTTGGTGTTTTACTCGTTGGTAAAATTTCCGGACTTCGTTCTGACTCCTGTGCATCTTGCTTTGCTCACGGTTTCCTTGTTATTTTTTCTGAAAATACGTTTCTCCTCTCTCCTTTTCTCCCGATAATTCTCGCTCGCATTACGTGTTGCTACTGGCTGCTGGGTTGCCCTAAACGCTGCGCTTTTTCATCAGTATCGTACCTAGGGATACGTAGTCGAGCGTAAAAGTCGATTTTTATACTTTTTGAAGTTTGCCCTTGAGTAAAAAGTATACTTTTTCGATCTTTCGACTTTATCAAGCCAGCTTAAAATCGATTTTCGGCTTTTAACGACAAGTGCAAAATCGACTAAAAATTTTAATTTTTTTATGAATTGTTTCCAGCTGATAAAATAATGTTCCGGAATATGCACTTTGGGGTTTATGATAATAAACCAATTACTTATAAGGAAAATCGAAAGTCGATCTTAAAAAGTCGACTAAAAGGTGCCATCTCGCTACATTAAGACGAGTGCTAACCATGGCTGCTACAAGGTAATGGTCCGAATCGACATTCGCTCCTCGGGTCGATCGAACGTCTAAAACACTGGATGAATGCCTTCCGTCTATCAGAACATGATCGATTTCTCATTGTTTGATCGGGAGTTAGCCAGATGGCCTTGTATATATCGAAGATACTAGAATTTGGTGCTGCTAACTACCATGTTTTTTATTTATTTATCTTTCGTGATGAGCTACATGATCGAAGTTGCAATGAAAAGGAAAGCCAGAGAGATACTACATTCCCACTATTATGCGACGCGTTTCGCCGTTGGTTAAGCGGCTCATCAGACATATTGGGCAATGTGGCTTACAAATGTCGTTACTTGATAATTTATAGTTATGTCGAACATTGTTGCGAAATTGCATCTACGAATTAAATTCAACCGTGTCAAGGTTCGGACATTTGGCATCACACCAGAACATCCATTTTCAGAGCAGACTTTTTTGCTGCCACGAAGTCAATCAACCTCATGCCGCGTTGTCTGATGTTTCTTCATGGAGACTGAATTTTCCGAACATTGGTCCAAAAATATTTTCCCTTCCGATTTTTGCATTAAAATCTTTTTAATGTCATGTTCAGGGCAGCGCTCATATGCTGTTTTTAGGCGCTCGTAAAATATGTTTTTGGTCTGTTCATCTTTGTCTTCAGTCGGAGCATGGGCGCAAATAAGACTGATGGAAAATAACTTCGCTTTTATACGGATTATAGTAATTCGTTAATCTATTGTAGTGAATCTGAAGACGAAGTCTTTTATTCTTCTGTTAACCATAAACCGCAGACGATTTTATGACAGCTATAATACAGGGCGTAATCATCTGATTTACTTAAACCAGTCCCTTTCCATCGCATTTCCTGTAAGGCAATAATATCGGCTTTGTACTTCTTGAGTACATCCACCAAAGCGTAAACTGCGTCTGTTAGAGCGTTTTGTTTCCTTTTTCGTTGTTTTTCATAGCAGGAGGTGTTTTTTCGAGTGTGCGAACACTGCGCCTGTTCTGTACAACATGCGCACATTCCAAGTGCAGATTCGCAGATCGTGGTCCTTTATACGTTTGCGGGGGTTGTCAACATTAGGGAGGGTTTGGTTTTCTTTTTCTTTGTTTTTTCATGGTAGGTTGGGTTTTCCGAGAGTGGGCAACTAACCCGATGTCTCATCCAATTTTTTATAGTTCTCATGGATGAAATCGTGGCACATATCAGCTCACCATTTCAATGGGTGATGAGTGTCCACAATGGACACTCATCAGGTCCGTGTTCAAAATTGATATGCAAGAGGGACCAAGATAAGCCCGAGCTTTGCCATTTTAAAGCTGATCTGGCGGATGATAGGTACCAAGCAACGGCTCTGATTCACAAGTTATGACTAGTCTAAAATACCAATGATTTTCTCTAAATTTGGCAGCACTGACAAACACTTGCTGTCAGCGCCATCTATTGAATGGGTAGATCCAATGATCGTATATGCAAAATTTAACCTAATTTGTTTTTCATATAACTTTTTATCTATTGTAGATATTTAAATAAAATTAGTGTCATATGAAAGGTACAATTTCATACTTCCTTGTAAAATAACAATAATTTAAAAATTTTGTATGTCTGAATATGGAATGCAGTATTAAAATATTCAATATTTTCCTTCAATAGATGGCGCTGGCGACGGGTTTATACAAATTCCATAACTTTTTTATAGCCTTCACCACACTGTGTGATCCGATTTGGATGAAATTTGGCATAGGTCACTTATTTGGCCCAAGGATGAACCCTATTGAAATTGGGAAAAATCGGTTCAGATTTAGATATAGCTCCCATATATATTTCCGTCCGATTTCATGTAAATGGTGCACCAAAGTCCCTATATATCTTTCGATTTGCATGAAATTTGGCACAGCGTAATAAATTACGTCTAGAATAATGTGTGTTAAGTTTCATGCAAATCGGTTCAGATTTAGATATAGCTCCCATATATATTTTCGTCCGATTTCATGTATATGGTGCACCATCTATATATCTATATATCTTTCGATTTGCACGAAATTTGGCACAGCATAATAAATTACGTCTAGAATGATGTGTGTTAAGTTTCATTAAAATCGGTTCAGATTTAGATATAGCTCCCATATATATTTTGGTCCTTTTTAATGTAAATGGTGCACCAAAGTACCTTATATCTTTAGATTTGCACGAAATTTGGCACAGCGTACTGAATTAGGTGTAGAAAGATATGTGTTAAGTTTCCTGAAAATCTATATCTGACCAAATGAAAAATTGATTATCGATTGCAGAATGACATGTTAATGGATCCAATTTCATTTTACTGGTCCTTTAAAGATGCGACGTCTATTAGGATTCATATAGTCGGCCCCGTCCGACTTTACTACTTTCCTTACTGGTTTTGTTATAACTTTTTACGCATGGCTTGTATACGAATGAAAGTGGTGTCATGTGAAAGTTATAATCGTATACTTTCTTCTAAAATTTCAAAATTAGTTCAATAATAATATGAAATTAGAGTTTCTTGTACCATTTTTTACAATAATATTTACTTAGGTGGATATCCAAAATAATTTTGATATTTTTAATACATTTTTTCTTTTCAGATTACTTTTTGGGTGTGACACAAGGCGAGGATTATCTAATTACTGGATTTTTGGCAGCTCAAAACGGCTACGATCAATGTTTGTTTGCTGCAGCCTGTGAATCGCCACAAATTGCCTATGAATATGCCAAGGCAGCAAAGGCCTTAATCGAAGGCATTGAAAAGTTTCAGGGGTAATTATATTTAAAAAAAAAATGCTATATTAAAAATAATTCCAATATTCATATTTATTTTCTCGTGTTTGCAGAGAA